GGGGGGGGGAAGGGCAGCGCAGTGCGCTGGCCACATCTGCATCAGCACAGGTGGCGCCCTTGTGCTCCAGCCTATATACCACCCTGAGGGGAAGAAGTCCTGCTCACCCCGCCTGGACTTTCTCTTTGGTCAGGGACTCAATCATCTTGGTGCCCAGGTCATAGATGGTCTCCATCTCTGTTGTCTTCAGTGTCAGCTTCCCCACCTTGGCACCCTGCAGATAGACAGATGGATGCAGTTGCTCATCACACCTGACAGGAACGGTCTGGCAAGGGGAGCCTCAGCCAACCCTGTCCCATATATGCCAAGCTGAGGGGATTCACAGTCATGTTCCTATGGGGGAAGCTCAGATCCAGCATAGGACAGCCCCTGCCCAGCCCCAATCCCCACTTACAGTGCCAGTAGCTGGGCGGTCGATCTGGATCTCCACTACTTCCCCCTCAATGATCTCAGTCTCCTCCCTGCAGGGATGAGGGACAGAGAAAAGTCAGGACTGTACCCCAACTGCTCCTGTTAAATGAGGGCGGGAGGCGGGATAAAGCTGCTCCCTTCTGCTGACTAGGAGAGGTGATTGCAATTGCTGTGACTGATCTATCAGACTGCACTCCCTTCCTGGAGCTAGGGATAGAACCCAGGAGTCCTGGCTTCCAGCCCCTGCCCCCCACAGCTCCAACCAACCAGACCCCACTCCCCTTCCAGAGCTAGAGACAGCACCCAGCAGTCCTGGCTTTCAGTCCCCTTGCTATAATCCACCAGATCCCCATCACCTCTCGAAGATGAGATGGAACTCAAGCGTCCTCCTTGCAGTCCCCTGCACCACCTCACTAGTCCCCACTCCCCAAGAAGGGATGGAACCCAGGTATCCAGGCTCATCCTTACTTGATGCGCACTCCGATGGAGCGCCGGAAGGCCTGAGTCAGTGCCTCTGTCTTGCTCATCTCCAGGGAAAAGATCTCACTGCCAGCGATGGCTGTGAAGGGGGTGTCCAGCCCCAGGGCCTGAGCCATGCCTGAGGCAACAGAACAAGGGCTGTGGTTACATCAGAGGCTGTACAACTATGCCATCCCCGCTGCATGGGCACCAGAACTTCAAGATGGTTAGAGCCACAGCTCCCCAGGTAAGAAGGGAACCCCCCAGGTGGGGAGATCTTAGGGTGGGGAAGCCCAGGAGAGACCTGGAGGTGGGGACAGGGCAGGTCCTGGGGAGGGTACAAATGCCAGGGGCAGCAAAGTGAGGAGATGCCTCTCATGGCAGCCAGACCCCAGGATGGGGCAGAAGACGACAGATGATCCCTGATCCCATATGGTGCAGGAATATAGGGAAGATCCCTCCCACTCAGGGCATGGATATGGACAGATCCCGAGGCTGCCCCAGGCCCATACCCATGGCAATGGCAGTCTTGCCCGTGCCTGGCTGGCCAGCGATAAGCACAGCCCGGCCCGCAATCTTCCCCTCCTTGATCATTTCCAAGATGACACCGGCGGCACGGCGGGCAGCTAGCTGCCCCACCATGCCCTGTGAGACCTGCGGGGACAGGATACGAGAGGTAGGGATTGGCAAAGACCCTCCCCTGCCTCCCATGCACAGCTGCCCCCATAGACCCCCACTGCTCACAGGGCTCCCACCAAGGCTCCCCATAATCCCCAAGACCTCATCTCTGCCCCCACTCCTGCCATGGCTGCCCTGTACCCCCCTCTCACTCATGCAGTCCCAACAATGCTCCTCATGACCCCAGCCCCTATCTCCATCCCCACAGCTACCCCATGCCCCTGCTCCCCTCCCACTCCTAAATATCCTCGCATGGACCCCACAGGCTCACGCAGCCCCTACCAATGCCCATCACTGCCTCCCTATCTCTGCCTTCGCTCCTCACAGTCGCGCACAGTTCCTGCCCCACCACCTCCAACTCAAGCCTCCATGAACCCCCAGGCTTACACAGCGTCAGCCAGCACCCCCAGTACTGCCTCCACCCCCCAGCCCCTTCCCGTCCTGCCCTGCCCGTACAGCCCCACCCCCATGAGGCCCCCCAATACCTGTCTAGGCTCCAAGGCATCATCCAGGCCCAGCCCTCGGATGTGAGAGTGGGCGCCTGGGGAAGGCAATAGGGCAGATCCATGAGGGCAGGGAAAGGGGGTCCCCTCTGTCCCTCCCGCTCCCCCTTCAAGCCCGCTGCCAAGCAACGGTTTCCATGGAGACGGTCTGGCTCGAACCCCCCCCCCCCCGGCCCCCCGACGCGGCCCAGCC